GTTGTTGTTTTAAGCCTCTAAGTTTTGGAGTGGTTTGTTATGCAGCAAAAGCTGGATGATACATATACATTTCAAGCCCCATTTGATTTTATTTCTATTTCTTTCACTCTCATTCAACAGTTCTATTTCACCTATTCTTTCTGCTATGAGAAAAGAGAGGTCATCTGATATGAGATCCCTAGATCTTCTGTCACCTCAGAATGAGATATCAGTCCCTTGAGGGGAAAGACAGTGTCTTTTTCATCTTTGTTAGAGCAAAGAGCATGACACAGAGTACATGTTGTTCAATGTCTGCTTGGTGAATTACTGAATGAAAGAATGAAAAGTCTCTATCTGTACATTTCCTGTGCCACATCAAAACTTCTCTGGGTTTTTACTCGTTTCTGCTTAAAAAACCAGGGGATATAGATGAAAAACAATAATGCTAAAGATTTTTAAATAAGCATTTTGATTAGGTTAGACAATGCTAATTACCAAAACAGAACACATATTTTAAAAGATGGCTTTTTGATCCATTATACTATACTAAAGTCCTTAAATATCTATGTTTGCACTTGTGCAATTGCTGCCGCATTTATGTATATGCTGTTTCTCTGCTTCTCCTTCTCAGTTAACAAGGCTAATGTGAAGGAGTGTTTAGTGACTGATTTTTGCTGATTTTGAAGCTTCCATATTGGTGGTCTTCTCCTGGTACAGAACGTGAAAGTGCTGTGGAAGCCTACGATACGGTATTATGAACAGATCTGCAGTTATACTCACCAAGGCCATGCCTATGTGTGGACATAGGAGGCATCACACTCCAAGTTTTTGTTTTAGGGTTGTAGCATTCTACGGTATTCAGAGTCTTCAGTCCATCTCTTCCACCAACTACATACAGTTTGTCATCTAACACTGCGACACCAAACTGTAGCCTCCTTCCATTCATATTTGCGACAGGAGTCCACATGTTCGTACGAAGGTCATACTTTTCAATGCTTGTTGCTCCTTCATAGTAATATATAGCAGTTATGTACATAAAAATTTCACCACGATTGAGTATTTTAGGAATTTAAACATACAAAAGTATAATTTTATTATCAGTGACAATAATTCTGTTATTATATTGCACTAAGCTACTGTATGATCTGGTCCCTGCTTATATTCCTGACATTCCTACTAGTCTCCAGGACATACACCAGGCCCCAGTATTAAAAAGTCAAGGATTATTTGTCAAAGAGGCTGGGAAGCAAGAGCTAGAACTGGGAGGAAAAGTAGTGTCATGGAATCTAAAGAAAAAAATTTATAGTAGGTAGGACTACTAGCAGTATCAAAGGCTACTGAGAGGACCAAGGAAGATGAAGACTAAGAAGTATTACTAGAGTTAGCTACAGGGAGGTCACTGATGGCTTGAGGGAGAATCTCCTTGTTTGAGTGGTTGAGACATGATTGGGAGGTGAGAAGTGGAGATCGTGAGCATAGATGATTCTTATGAGAGTTTGGCTATAAAAGGGAAGAGAGAGGAATTACTAGGTCAGCTGAGGGAGGTTTTTTTTTTTTTAATTGGAAAAACGTAGTTTGCTTAAATGCTAAGGGTCAGATCTATCTAGTTGTAAGGAAAGAAGATGAAAATACAGGAGATGAAAGGATGTTAACTAATAGTGTGAAGTTCCTGAGGAGGCAGGAGAGGGCAGTATCAGAGCACAGGCGAGTGGCTGGCCTTCACAGGAGGCAGGAGGGATACAAATCCTGTCACCAGGAAGGGCAAGAGTGTTAGCGCAGATCATATACTTTGGGAACTGTGAGAGTGGAAAATTTTGGGGAGTAAACTCCCTAACAGTGTTTACATTTTTTTAAGAATTGGAAGGCTCCAAGCATCATATAGTATGGGAGAATATATTTGTGAATGACGTATCTGACAAGGGGTTAAACATCCAAAATATATCAAGAACTCCCACACCTCAACACCCAAAAAGCAAATAACCCTATTAAAAAATGGGTGGAGGATATGAACAGACAATTCTCCAAAGAGGAAATTTAGATGGCCAATAGGCACATGAAAAGATAATCCACATCGCTAATTATGAGGGAAATGCAAATTAAAACCACAATGAGATATCACCTCACACCAGTTAGGATGGCCAACATCCAAAAGACAAACAACAACAAATGTTGGCGAGGATTTGGAGAAAGGGGAACCCTCCTACAATGCTGGTGGTGTAAACTGGTTCAACCATTGTGGAAAGCAATATGGAGGTTCCTCAAAAAAAAACTTAAAATAGAAATACCATTTGACTTGGGAATTTCACTCCTAGGAATTTACCCAAAGAAAAGAAGTTCTCAGATTCAAAAAGACATATGCACCCCTATGTTTACTGTAACACTATTTACAATAGCCAAGATATGGAAGCAACCTAAGTGTCCATCAGTAGATGAATGGATAAAGAAGGTGTGGAACATATACACAATGGAATACTATTCAGCCATAAGAAAGAAACAGAATCCACCATTTGCCAACAACATGGATGGAGCCAGAGGGTATTATATGTTCAGTGAAATGAGTCAGGCAGAGAAAGACAAATACAAAATGATTTTCCTCATTTGTGGAGTATAATGGTGAAGCAAAACTGAAGGAACAAAACAGCAGCAGACTCACAAACTCCAAGAAGGGGCTAGCAGTTACCAAAGGGGAGGGAGGGAGGGAGAAGGGGATTGAGGGATATTATGATTAGTACACATGGTGTGGGAGGATCATGGGGAAGACAGTGTAGCACAGAGAAGACAAGCAGTGACTGTGGCATCTTGTTACACTGACTGACTGTGACTGCAGTGGGCGGGGACTCGATAATATGGGTGAATGTAGTAACCACATTGTTTTTCATGTGAAACCTTCATAAGATACCTTAATAATAATTTTAAAAAATACCAGAAAAAAAAAAGAATTAGAAGGCTCCAGGAACTCTTTTGTTCTCTTTATGAGGTAAGAGAAATAGAGGTAAGAAAAAAAAAAAATTAAAAGCCCATCCTCTAAAACAAGCCAACTTCCAGTTATGAAGAGTTCAGTTAAAATCTACTTTACTCCTCTCTTCTAAGCTTCTAACACAACATGGAATCAATGCTATCCTTACAGATTTACAATCAGGACAAACATTTATCCTAAAGTATTTATTATGATTAGTTCATCAGAGCCTAATGCTACTGATAATCTCCTAAATGTAGAAGTTTTGGTTTTGCTTTATATATATATATATTTTTTTATGCTTTAATATATTATAGTTTACATTTTTTAAATTTACCCTACAAAATTTGTAATTGGGATCGATTCCAAATCTTTTTCCACCTTTATATTCTTCACAGCACCAAGTAGAGTACCTCATACAATAGCAGCTATTCAAAAAATTTTTTGAACTTGAATAATCTTTCTTTATAATTCTTAGCTATAATGAGATTTTATTCATACACTCAGATTATTTATGTACTAGTATACTTGATTCATTACCCTAAATTTGATTTTAAAACTTCTTCCTTCCATTAAATAAAGTACAATGCTTATCATCACTCCTCCCTAATGAATTTAAGGGTTACTTTTTTTCATTTTAAGTTATTTCTTCTAGATCTAGTTCACTAAGCAGTATCATGGTTTTATGAATTGGTAGCTAAAAGTTCTTTTGTTAACATCAGATATAATTCTTAAGACATAAAATCTTGAAGTCTGAAACATATCTTAAAATAAAACAAATATCCAAAAGTAAAAAAATCCTAACAATTGCAAAATTCTATTAGAAGCTGATAACATCCCTAATTTATACTTTTTAAAAAAGCAGAAATATACTCTAACATTTTCTTAGTAGTATTTAGAATCACCAGTGGTATTTAGCTTGTTAGTTGGACTCTATACTAGCCAGGTATATGATCACACTACCATCCAATTAATGTGAAGTTTTCATTATAAAGACATTGGGAATAAGGCAAGGCCATACGATAAAGATGTTGGGAATAAGATAAGTCAGAGTATTTGATTATTAAGAAAGACTCAGAAATAAAGTTGGTCATATAGTAAGGGCCAGATTACAGAGTCTTCAAAACTTCAAAAAAAGAGGAATTTACATCTTATGTGATAAGAAATTAAGATTGTTGGAGTTTTTGAGCAAAGTAATAGCATATTAGCAGAAGAGTTAATAAACCAGAGGATATTCCCACCAGAGTCAAAATGCCCGTTTGAATGAACTGATTCCATCACTAATTAGGTGTTTGATCCTAGGAAATTCCTAGGTCTCAGTATTCTTATTTCTAAAAGAGGACAATAATAAAATTCAGTTCATAGAATTGTTATGAAGATGAAATGAAACAATATAGGTTAAGTGCTAAATGTAATGCTTGGCACGTAAGAACAACGTAATGAATGCTATTCCCACTAAATGAACATGATTGCAATATGTAAACTGAAAACTCCATAACTGAAATTAGGAAGATAACAATGGATTTAGAAAGAAGACTCAGTGACTGTTGGAATAGAATGTTTAAAAGACAGAGGGACAGACGGACAGACAGAAAAAGACAGAAAGACATGTATTGGTTACTTTGGGTCTTAGTGTCTGAGTTCCACTTTCATGCTTGGGTAATTTCCCACTGTATGTAAAAGCCTTGATGAGAGTCAAGAACCTATCTCCCATAAAGCTGAAAAGACAGATTCATTCTCCTTGTCCTTAGAAATTTAAGATCCAGGATTGACCTAAAGCTAGTAAAAGGGGTCCTTGCATCTACGATTTAAAACTAAAGCAGGTTTAATAAAGCAGAGGCAGTGGATGTAGTTCCTGCCCATTTTTCAATAGCCTTCAAACAAATTCCTTATTTGTGTAAATGAGTCAGAGTTGATGTCCACTGAAGAACAATGAATTATAATTCCAAGTTCTCAAGTCTGGGAGACATGGTCAGAGAAGACTTGCACACATGAAATTGAGGTTAAAGTCGAACATCATGTGGATATTTTATACAAGCTGAAAATAGGAGAATAAAGAATATAATTTATACACAGCAGTTAAAGCCTTGAAAAAGAGAGGAAAAGAGGAGGAAAATAAGTGTTGATTTTAAAATTTCCAAATATTTATAACTTTAACCAGTTATCTTTACATATTTCCATACTGTTCAGTCATCAAGCCCATACTTAGACTTGAGTTATCTATAAATACATAGCACTATGCTATATGGGATAATATCTACAGCTACATTGACATCTGTATCTTTGCTATCAGGAACCTAAAAGTTAAATAACAATAAAACTTTCAATTAGAGCTCAAATTTTTATATTCTTTAAAGATGTCACATAGAAATGAAATGTTTGGATGTGATTAATGCATCAAGGGATTTAGTCATACAAATAATTAAAGAGATGGCAAAGGACAACCTTCATTCATTTGACAAATATTTACTGATGCCATCTATGAGCAAGGCACTGTTCTAGGGTATGGGAATATATCAATGAAGAAAACAAACTCCTTGCTTTCTTGAGCTAACTTGGGGGGGAAGAGGTAGACAGACCATACACAAATGGATCAGGTGCTATGAAGAAACATAAAGCAGAGGAAGGAGAGAAAAGTGCAAGGCAAAAGGTCAGAAAGTGATGTGCAAGTGATGATTGAATGTCCGTGGAAATCTTTGGTCAACTGACATCGGAGAGGAGATCTGAGTGAGTAATTTCTGCTAGCCATTCCAACATCAGGGCACAGAACATTCCAGAGAGAGGGAGCAGGGAATGTAGCATTGTAATAGTTTTCATGTCTCTTTAGTCTTTCATAATTTAGAATAATTCCTAAATGTCTTTTGTATTTCATGATATTGACATTTTGCGACAGGTTATTTTACAGAATGCCTCTTGACTTGGATTCTTTTTTTTTTCTTTCTTTCTCATGATTAAACTCAGGTTATACGTTTTTGGCACGAAAATAGATGTGCAGCTGAGTTCTCAATGAATCATTCAAGAGGCACACGCTGCTGGTTAGTCTCATTTTTGGCAGTATGACCTTTGATTATTTGGTTAAGGTGCTGTGCGCCAGGTTTCTCCACTGTTAAGATACTGTTTTACCCCTAAGGAAGTGGTTGGGAGATACTGTGAGGCTAAATATCCTGTTTTCCCAAACTTTTACCTGCTAGTTGCAGCATGTATTGATGTTTCTTGACTGAAGTAGTTATTATTATGATGGTTGCCAAATGGTAAATTTTTCTAACCCCATCTTTCCTTTTATATTTAGTAGCTCACATTATACTGTAAAGAACTTTCTCTTCCCCTTCATTTTTATCAGTGTGGACTCATGAATACTTAATAGGTTGTACTCTCTACCACTATTTATTTTCATGCTGAAATTATCCCAGATGTGGACAGTGGAAGCCCCTTCAAACTCCCTGCTGTGTCCCTTGACCTGTCTCCATCATTTTTGAGCATTTCCTTACTTTCTGGCACTACGAGATGTTCTTCTAGGCTTATCTTGTACTTTTCTTACCCCAGTCCCGGAACCAGCCATTTCTTCACAGAGCTCTTCAGCCACATCTATTACTAATTAAAATTCTTTTTTTTTTCTGTTCCCTCAAGTAAAAGATTATTTAATACCTTTTGTTGAATCCATTCCTCCAACTGCAAACAACGTACCAACAGTTGACTTCCTAGGTTTTGTCCGAGGACTTTGTAACATGGGTCGTCTTTCTGGTAATAAATGATACTTCATTGCTTCCATAATAAGTTTCTGACATTCTATATCATCCCGAAAAAGTGCATTATTTTCCATGTCTGCCAGAAACTAGAAAAGAATAGTGAGTATGTATATTGAATGACCAAGAATAAACCATATGTTCACAAATGGAAATTATCTCATTAAAAATAAATCCAAGTTTGGACATATGTTTTTAACTAAAATATACAACACATACAAAATTTACATTTAAAATTTCACTGAAAAATAAACACTGAGGAGTAAGTGGTGTACTCTAAAATCTTAACAATGCTTATCTCTGGGTGGTGGGGAAACTGATGTTTGTAAACAACCTTTTTTACTGTTTTATTTTGGTTTTCCAGATTTTCTAGAATTTTACTTTTTAAATTAGAAATAATTTTAACTGAAGAAGAATAATTATTAGTTGACTAATCAAACTGCATCTATCTGACCTCTGTAAACAATGCTCAGACAACAAAAGCAAAAATAAAACTTACCAATTTCTTAAGGGGGAAAGAGCTCTAAATGGTCATTATTCTAAGACTCCCTTGTGCTTCACCGAATCCTATTTTTATATTGATGTAGTTGTATACAAATGCATAAATATGGTTACACTTTGTATTTAAAAATGCATTTATTTTCCTTATGTGCTTGATTTTCCACCCCCTCCCTACTCCTCTATTGCTTTATTTCTTTCATTAGGCTATTAATCCATTAATTTTTAAATAGAGTATGAGTTGAAGAATATTTTAATTTTCTTCAGATGGATAGCAAGTACTGTATCAGCACCATTTATTAAATAGTCCCCTCCAGTTCCAACTGAATTGAACCTTCAAACTGAATTAATAAGGCCACATATTAAATTCTCATAAATACTTCTCAGGATAGATGATATCTACTTTTTGATTCTTTATTCCATTGATCCATTGTGTGTTACCATTTTAATGCCACATTTTATTACAGTGTCTGTATAGCATATTCTGGTTATCTGATATAAATCTACCCTCACTGTTCATTTTCATAGATTTCTTGGCTAATTTTGAGTCTTATTTCCCATATACACTTAAGATAAATTTACCTAATTCCCCTTTAACACACATGGATCCTGTTGGAATTCTAACAGAAACTGCAATTTATTAATTTTTGGAGAACTTAGATTTTTATGATATTTAATATTTCAGTTCAAGAACTTTCCATTTGTTGTATAGTTTTTCTCATATAGGTCTTATGCCTTTATTTTATTAAATATAGTCCTACCTATTTTATTATTTTTATTGCAATTGGGAATGGATTTTTAAGTTTGCATTTTGCATATGATTTGCTGGAGGAGAGAAAAATCTACTGTTTATTGTATACTTGCATTATAACTTGCTACTTTACCACATTCCCTTATAAAACACTAGCTATCAGCTATACTATCGTAATCATCACCAAATAGATAGTTGAAATCTTATTCTAATATGTATGCCAATTATTTCATTTTTATTTTATTATTGCAGTTATTAAAACCTTCAAAGCAATGTTGAAAACTAGGGTTACATAGACTATCCCTCTTTCTGGTTTGAACTGATATGGTTTTAGCATTTCACTATTTAGGATAATAGCTGCTGTGGAATTTAGTAATCCACCTTTATTATATTTAGGATATTTTCTTCCTTCCCTATTTTAATTCAGAGTTTTAAAATTAAGAATGGTTGCTAAGTTTTTCCAAATGTATTTATACATCTACTGATAGGATCATATGGCTTTTTCTTCTTTAAGTTATTGACATCATAATTACCTTGACATATTTCCTGATATGAAATCATTCTCAGATTCCTGAAAAAAGACTTCCTGGATATAGCTTATTATCTTTTTGATGTATTACAGAATTGTATTTAATAATGCAAGTTATATTTTATATATCATATAATTCACAATTTCACATATACAATTCAATAGTTTGTAGTAAATTACCAAGTTGTGCAACCATTACCATAAAACAGTTTCGGGACACTTTCATCACCTCAATCAGACCCCACATGCCTATTTACTGTTAATTTCTGTTCTCATCTAGTCCCAAGCACTAATCTGTCCCTGCAGATTTGCCTTTTTAAATATATTTCACATAAACAGACTCATGCAATTTGTGGTCTTCTGTGTCTTGCTTTTTAAAATTTAGCATGTTTTTGAGATTCATCCATGTGTACCATGTATCATTACTTCATATATATTTTTAATATTGAAAAATATTCCTTTGTATGGGTCATATTTCATCTATCCATTTACCAGTTGATGCGCACTTAGGTTGTTTCCAGTTTCTGGCTATTATGAATAAAGCTGCTAAGAACATTTATGTGCAAATCTTTATGTAGATTCATGTTTTCATTTCTCTTGGGTAGATACCTAAGAATAGATTTGCTGGGTCATATGGTAAATATATGTTAACTTTCAAATAAACTGTCAAATTGTTTTCCAAAGGGCTGCAACATTTTACAGTCCCCTCAGCAATATATGAAGGTTCCTGTTTCTTCACATTCTCAACAAAAATGTTACTATCTTCTTTTACTTTAGCCATTTGAATGGGTGGAAAATATAGTTTTACTTTGCATATCCTTAATGACTAATAATATTGAGAATATATTCATACTTTGATAATGGAAGAGAAAGATGAGTCTGTAACACAAGTCACTATCAAAAACTTAGTGGCATTTGGGAACTGAAAACAGCATGTTAACAGCAAAAAAGCCAAACTGAAACAGTAAGTCTCATGACAGAGTTTAAGTTCTGCTATTAATTATTCCATATTGTAGCAGATATAGTTATACTTGCTACAGAAACCATTACTGAATATACATTGAGTTGGCTTATTTAAATTCATCTTAAGGTTTCTATTATTTTATATATAATTATTTTAGTCCTTTCTAAATAAAAAGAAATGTGAAAAAACTGTAGAAAGTCTTGGGAGACTTAATTAGTTATTGCAATTTAAATTAAAATGTATTTCTTAAGATGCTGACAGTCTATAATTTATGAATAAATGTGATTATTTATATTTAGGGAGAGGTATTAAAGTAACAGAAGAAAATATGAAGCCATTAATCCAAGTATCATATGGAAAATCATTCTTCACAAGGCACTGACAGAAAACTGAAAAAACACAGACTCTCATATACTATGCACTTTAGGTGAATAATATGTGCCTTCTCTGCCATAAAAGAATGGCAAATTATTAAAATGAAAGCATTTAGAAGACAGAACAATTTCTAAATTTTATCTTCACTTACATACTTGTTCACCATATGACTATTCCTCTAAAACTGTTCCCCCAAATACTATGTAAAAATGGAATGGGAATATGGTGTGAGGGGTCACGGGGAAGACAACGTAGCACAGAGAAGGCAAGTAGTGACTCTGTGGCATCTTACAACACTGATGGACAGTGACTGCAATGGGGTATGGGTGGGGACTTGGTAATTTGAGTAAATGTAGTAACCACATTGTTTTTTCATGTGAAACCTTCATAAGAGTGTATATCAATAATACCTTAAAAAAAAGGAATGTGAATGATTTATGAACTCTATAAGCTTACAAAGGTTTTGGAATCAAAACCTTGTAAATTAAAAGAATTCTAAAGGTAAATACTGACTCATTCCACATTTCTGACCTTTAGGACAAGGCAATATTGAGAATTCAGAACAGAATAGTGAAGATCATGATACTTATAATATAAGCCAATCACCGGGAACATCAAGAATTTAGCTGTCAAAATTTTTAAAATAATTTTTATATATTTCAGTATTGCTATCCACATTATTTAAAATTTGATCAAATAGAAAAGTTCAGAATGCTTTTAAAGGTAAAATAAAATGACCACAAACACTTATCTTCTGGATTAATCACTTAAAAAAACCCACATTAAAATGACCACTTGATAGAGAATTACAATTATATATACTACTTCCTACACAATTTTAAGAATCTACTGTGGAAGACTACAATAAAATAACTATATGTAAGTTAAAAGCCTTCTAACTAGGCTAAATAGAATATTTCATATTAACAGAGCAGAGTAAAACCTCATTGAGAAAAGAACTATTTCACAGAAGTAAATACTCTAGGTAACTGGACCTAATGGTAATTTTTGTAATGTTAGTTATTTATTGACAGGCATTAAGCAATTTAAGTTGCTTTTTCCTATCTTAAAATTTTTTGGTTCTATTTTTTATTGATACGTAATTGACATATGTTAGTTTCAGGTGTACATTAATGATTTATGTATATATTGCGAGATGATCACCACAAAATCTAATTAACATCCATCACCACACAATTACAAATGTTTTTCTTGTGATGAGAACTCTTAGGACCTAATCTCTTAGCAACTTTCAAATATATATATATATATACGATATAGCATTATTAACTGTAGTCATCACGCTGCACATTACATCACAAGGACTTATTTATTTTGTAACTGGAAGTTTGTACCTTTTGACCACCATCACCCAGTTTACACACACCCAACCCACTTTCTTACCTTTTAAAATAAAACATTCAGAAAAAAATTCAACATTTTTTGATGATTTTAGCGTCTACTTAAAAATCTCTGTCACTGATAACTTGATTCTGGAAACCTGTCCTTTACTTTTTTTTTTTTAATGAAGTTCTCATTGATACACAATCTTATGATGGTTTCACATGAGCAACACTGTGATTACAACACTCACCCAAATTATCAAGTTGCCGTTCCCACCCCCGCCCCACTGTGGTCACTGCCCATCACCATAGTAAAATGCTAGAGAGTCACTTGTGACTTTTCCACGCTATACTGCCTTCCCCATAAGCCACCTACATAATGTGTGCTAATCATAATGACCCTTAATCCCCTTCTCCCTCCCTCCCCACCCAACCCTCTCCAACCCCTTCCCTTTGGTAACCTCTAATCCCTTCTTAAGAGTCTGTGAGTCTGCTGTTGTTTTGTTCCTTTAGTTTTCCTTTGTTCTTATACTCCACATATGAGTGAAATCATTTGGTATTTGTCTTTCTCCGCCTGGCTTATTTCACTGAGCATAATACCTTCTAGCTCCATCCATGTTGTTGCAAATGGTAGGATCTGTTTTTTTGTTATGGCTGAATAATATCCTATTGTGTATATATATATATATATACCACATCTTCTTTATCCATTCATCTACTGATGGACACTTGGGCTGCTTCCATACTTTGGCTATTATAAATAGTGCTGCAATAAACATAGGGGTGCATATGTCTTTTTGAACCTGGGATCTTGTTTTCTTTGGGTAAATTCCTACAAGTGCAATCCCCGGATCAAATGGTATTTCTATTTTTAGTTTTTGAAAAAACTCCATATTACTTTCCACAATGGTTGAACTATTTTACATTCCCACCAACAGTGTAGAAGGGTACCCTTCTCCGTGTCCTCACCAGCATTTGTTGTTCCTTGTCTTTTGGATGTTGACTATCCTAACTGGTGTGAGGTAGTATCTCATTGTGGTTTTAATTTGCATTCCCCTGATAATCAGTGATGTGGAACATCTATTCTTTTGCCTGTTGGCCATCTGACTTTCTTTGGAGAACTGTCTGTTCATATCCTCCACCCACTTTTAAATAGTTATTTGCTTTTTGAGTATTGAGGTGTGTGAGCTCTTATTTTAGATGTAACCCCTTATCTGTCATTTATGAATATATTCTCTGATACTGTAGGATGCCTTTTGTTCTGCTGATGGCGTCTTTTGCTATACAGAAGCTTTTTAGTTTGATGTAGTCCCATTTGTTCATTTTTGCTTTTGTTTCCCTTGCTTGAGGGGATGTGTTCAGGAAAAAGTTGCTGATGTTTATATTCAAGAGATTTTGCCTATGTTTTCTTCTAAGAGTTTTATGGTTTCATAACTTACATTCAGGTCTTGATCCATTTCGAATTTACTTTTGTGTATGGAGTTAGACAATAATCTAGTTTCATTTTCTTACATGAAGCTGTCCAGTTTTGCCAACACCAGTTGTTGAAGAGGCTATCATTTCCCCCATTGTATATTCATGACTCCTTAATCATATATTAATTGGCCATATATGTGTGAGTTTGTATCTGGGCTCTCTATTATTCGGTTCCATTGATCTATGAGTCTGTTCTTGTGCCAGTACCAAATTGTTTTGATTACTGTGGCTTTGTAGTAGAGCTTGAAGTTGGGGAGCATAATCTCCCCAACTTTATTCTTCCTTCTCAGAATTGCTCTGGCTATTTGGGGTCTTCTGCGGTTCTGTATGAATTTTAGAATGTCCTTTACTTTAAGCAAGGAAAAAAACAAACAAACTCTGCTAACACTGCTAAACGTCACAGTAGTTCAACACAGTATTGTAATTGTAAAAACAAAAACTTTGCTCAGATAAGTGAAGGAACTTGGTTGTTATACAGGGCAATATGGCTTCTATCCCCATTATTCATCAGGCTAAAACAGTGGTTCTCAAACTTGAGTGTGCGTCAGATCCCCCTGAAGGCCTATTAAAACACAATCTGCTTAGCCCCACCCTCAGAGTTTCAGATTCAGTAGGTGTAGAGTGGGGCCTAATAGTCTGCATTTTAAACAATTTCCCACCTAGTGCTGATCCTATAGCTGGGGATCACATTTTGAGATTCACTGGGATAATCCAGTGGATTTTCATCCTTTTTGTCTTCTCTGTAGCATCTGATAATGCTAAAAATTCTTCCTGTTTGAACTTCAACTCTCTTTTTAATAGCACTCCAGTTATTTAGACAGGTTTGGGAACCAGAACTAAATATTAGTGTTCCCTAGGGTTCTACCCCTAGCACTCTTGTGTTCTCTTTGGCCAATCTCTTCCCCTGGATGTCAACAACCTAAATAAGTAGTTTTATAACTTCTTAGACTGTAAGACTATTAATGGTGTCAAGAAGCTCTGGGAACATAATTCTTCTACTTCCCTCCCCATCTTCAAAATCAGCTGTTCAACCCCTATCCCTTGTCACTAATCTCATTGTGCAAATCAGAATCATTCTGAATCCCTCTTTTTTTTCTACCCCCAACCATTCAATCATTAAGTTGTATCAGTTCTACCTCCTACATACCTCTTGAGCCTGCAATTATCCTACCTCCACTGCCAGAGTGCTTAATTCACTTTTCTGAATCCAACAGCCTTCCTAATGGGTTTCTACTTTGACCCCTCCAATTTATTTTCTGCAATGCATTTACAGATTTTTCTAAAATACAATGGTAATAAGTACTCCATTCCCTGTTTAAAGTCCTCCAGTGTTTCCTCACTGCTTTAGGATTAAATCCAAACTCCTTGGCAGGACCACAGATTCTTCATGGTCTGGTCTCTCCCTTGTTAGCCTCATTGCTCAACAATCCCTGCATACTAGCCATGCAAGCTACCTTCAAATTCCAAAATGTGATATATTTTTCCCTCACAACTCTGTAACTAGGTCAGTCACCTATCTCTCCGGGGATATCAAGCCCTTTCTTTGGGTAGCTAACTCATGATACAGATTGAGCAACACTTCAGAAAGCTCTTCCACCACGATTCTGGGTGAGCTACTCCAATTATTTTTATGATGCCATGTTCACATGTCTATCATAGCTTTCATTTCAGTATATTGTATTCACTGATTTATTTTTTAATCTATTTCTTTTCTACCTGATATCCCTCCCAACTACCCAGCAATTTTACACATAGTAAGCAAGAGGCAGAACAATTCAGTGGAAAAGGCACAGAACTTTACTTGGGTTCAAGTCCTGCTTTTGTCTCTTATTAGCTCCATGATGTTAGCCAGGAAGCAAAGCTACATAAAACTACAATGCAGAAAGGACATAAATCTGCGCCCTCACTCTGTGATTTTGAAGATATGGTTTCACTTTTTTGGTCTGTTATTTCATTTGTACAACTATGTTAGACTAAAAGATTGCCAAAGTACCTTCAATTTTAAGATCTTATAGCTATGACTACCAGCAGTATCCTGGATAACAGAAATTTTAAAGGTCTCTGGGAGTCTCATAAATATAGTATCGTAAATATTTAAAGCTGCAGGACTGAAGTGAGTTGTCGGGTTACTTAAATGCACAAACTTTTTTTAAAGTCTATTATGATTTTTCAGATTTTAGGTTCTTTCATTTAGAAAAGGATAAGAAAAAAAAAATTCTGCTAGGTACCAGTAAAAATATAACTCTCTTCTTTAAATCTGATTTTAAGAGAAACATGTTATGATGTCGTTTTTCCTGAATTATCATCAATTCATACAGTTTCACTTCTATGAATTCATACATTCTACCTCTGAAGGGGGAGGGCCTTTCTTAAAAAGCATTAACACTCTATTTTTGTCTCTGTATGGTAGAGAGTACACAGTGACTTCTGTTCACAGGAGCTAGAAATAATACATAATCTTCAACATAAACACTAATAAGATAACACTTATGGTACCTTAAACAATGACAGAAAGTCTGACCTTGAGCAGCAACAGCTCATTCTTTGAAGCTCATTACCTTCAAGGCCTCTTTCTCTATTCAAGGCCTCAGAAGAAGCAGCAGAGTATGCAGAGGAAAATTTTTTGTATATTTGATGAGAAGTGTAAAAAGGGGAAACTATACATGTAAACATGTTGACTGATTGTCTTGAATACACCAACTAGATATCTCTCAATTCTAAAATAATGATAATCATACATTATTTATAGCACATTTCACAGAGCACTTTTCTGATCCTCATAATAATCCTGTGAGGTAGTCAGAAAGCACATTATCTCCACTTGACAGATGAAGAAACTAATGTGTGTGGGTTGCCAGGTCAGTTTGAAGATGTCAGAGCTGGAACTATCATCAGGTCTCCTTAATTTATATATCACCAGAATTCAGCATTTACTGGATACTTAATAAATGTGTGGCAAATGAATTAACCTAAATATTCTGGTTTCTAGAGTCCAGTGTTCTTTTATTAGCAGCTTTATTACTTCTTCAGTTGCTAGGATGGTTTATAGTTGAGTCAAATAAAATTAATAAGCCCAAAGCAACAGTGTTACTTAATTGACACTATTAAAATGATCAGGACTGCTGGGTTTAAAGCAAGCAGAGTATTTTCGGTCCACTATCTTTTCACTTACAACACAGGAATATATGTAAAATAACCTTATTGGATCGAATAATCAAAGAAAAAACTCTATAGACAAGTACATCTAATGTTAGCACAAAGCGAATACTCAAATGTTATTGAAATTATGACATTGATTTTAAATAATCAAAGACATTTTACCTGTGGTGCAAGAAGAGGTAGTCTAATATAAGCCAAAAGTTTACTGAGATCTTTCCGTCTCTGTTCCAAATCATGACGGACCCAAGTAAGAAGCGCATTCAGTATGGTTTCCTCATGAGGAATATTCATATCATCACTGGCCAAGAGCTTTGCAATTTCACTGGCTGGTAATAATACAAATTCCTGGTTTCGAATTACTTCCATGAAATGTTCCTAGAGGGAAAATATAGCCTATAAACAATACTATACCTTCTGTCCATCACAATTTATTTAAAAGAAACTAAAAATATTTGAATTAGTTCCTAAAACAGTTTATACGTTAGACTTTTCATTACAATGTATTACTGCTTGCTAGGAAAGAAACAGTAGAAAATAGCATTTAAACTAAATTATGTCGTTAAATTTTTAATTTCCATATACACAAAATTAAAGTGTTGCCTCATTTATTACATTTTTTTATAATGGACCTGGAACTTTTAGTTACTGTTTTGCTCAAGTTAGGGAACAGGTTTGGCAAGCCTTTCAAAGGAAGGTAGAAAAATGAGTTAGACACTGAGATGCATGATACTTCAATACAATTAAGATTTGTGGTTGCTGGAGAATTTGGCTAATGGTAGAGCCAAATAACTGGGTGAGCCATGAAATATTTCTCTTACCCAGAAATGGCCTCCAGGCTGGCTACATTTCCCAAGACCACTCTGGACCACAGAAGTCTTCAAAGACCCTGCCCAGGAAGACGTCTTTAGGGTTATCCTAGAACCAAATTGGCCTTTTGAAGTGTCTCAATACCATTTATAAGATCACTCAGGATTTTAGGTCTGTTTCGAAAACTTCTAATCTGATTTAGGTACAAAGTTCTGATCTCACAGAAAAAGAGCCAAAGCAAAAGTACTCATCTAGTGTTAGGACTCCAGGACCTCACACTGAAAATGACCCAGTCCTGGCCGCTTATTGGAATCAGCCCCCTTAAAATTTGAAATGGGAGAGGGAAATGCCCTTAGGTGTGAGATAATGACTTTTACTAGGCTATTTTGTTAAATAATCTGAAGAGAAGGTAAGCATGCAAGATAACAGGTCCTAATGCATGCATTGTTTACATAGTTTATAACAATACAGATCCAAATGCTAGACATATTGTTCCATGACATTTTTCTTATACTCTTACTATTCAATGGCTGCTTCAGAATTGAAACATGTTTTAGTAAAATAGCTAAGGCTGTTTAAGGTAGAGCTAGAGATAAGGACTATCAATAACTATCTTCTTTATTAAAATGAGAATTATATTTTCCATATAGCCTGCAGTAACCCAAGTTAGGTAGAGATGTAAAATGTGTCTTGGGTTGACATTTCTTTCCTAGAAATTCTTAAGAGGAAAACCATACATGAATAATTAACTAAATTCAATTGCTTCAATTCATCATGATTTGTTAAAGATGCCCAAATGAACCTACTTTAAATGACTGATTATCATTTTCAGAAATATATTCTAGTGAAACCTCAGTGCTGGAATGGCCTCAAGCAAACTATTTGACTTAACTGTATACTGACATAATAAAATGATTTGGTAACACAAAGCAAGAGCTATAAAAGTAATGAAGTTTTCAACCCAGTTATCCCCCTAGTAGTTTAATCTTAATAAATAACTCACAAGGAGAAAAAGAAGCTGATACTTCTCTAAAGATGTTCTCTGTATTATTATTTATATTAGTAAAAAATGGGAAATAGCCTAAATGTCCAACTAGTGGGGGTGTAACTCAATGGACTATTAAGCAGGCATTAAAATTTTCAAAGACAAAGATCACATAGATACATGGAAAGAAATTTATTATACAATGTTAGATGAGATTTAAAACAACATACATTTCTAACTTCTTTGACTGGCTAAATGAATCTATTTTAGAACAATGCCTATTCCATTCTAGTATAATGCCTATTAAGTGAAAATCAAGTTTTTCAATAATGTTTGGAAAGGCTACTGAACTCAAGGTTAAACACAACATGCTTTTCAGAAGTATTAATTTGGTTTTGAAGCAGGTATTTTAGCAGAGTTCAATGTTTTTATAGCTTCTCTTGATCCAGAAATAAAATTTAAAATTTTACAATTGAACGCTTATTATATTTACTTCATAAATCTGTAGAGGCATTAAATATTTGTAATAATCTAACCAGTCTTAGACATATTTGTAGTTATTAAATGACTTGTTCTAGGTCATGTTCAATGGCAGCAGAATGAGAACAAGTTTTCAGATTTCAGGATTATAAGAAGGAACTCCTCATTGTTTCTTATTTGTATTGTACAGGATGAGTGAACATCCCAAGAACATGCACCATTACCAATTTTGACAATTGAATTTACTGTGTGGCATTATGCTTACTTCCTATTTTAAACCTATTTTATTTTATAGTTATCATGCTATTAAACACTTGCTAGCATTATGCCCTTTCTCCCTTTGGAATAGTTTTTAAATTAATGAAATTATGGAGGGATTTATTTAAATTGAAAATTAAATTTTTCTGTATATTTCTATTGAGTTCCTATAGCTACAATACAAATAGAATGACTTGTCAATTTCATGTCTCTGTTGAAACTGAATAACGTCAAATAATGGCCTTGAGAAAAAAAAGACTACTACAACTAATTGGCTATGAAAATAGATTTGAAAACACTGAGCTAATTTAAATTTATGTCTAAGCCTTAAAGCAACAATTGTGCCTATACTGTAAACAACAGGAGTGACCTAAATGCATACAAATGTTTTCATGTGAATAAAACTCCTTAGGAAGGAGATACTACTTAAATTATGAATTGAACATGAAGAAAGAGATTCAGCTTTCTAAAAAAATATTCATCTGCTTCCAAAAAATATTTGAACCTGAGACGTAAGGTTAAAAAAATGAATCTATCACTAGTCATCAGAGAAATGCAAATTAAAATCACAATGAGATATCACCTCACACCAGTAAGGATCGCCACCAACCAAAAGACAAACAACAACAAATGTTGGCGGGGTTGTGGAGAAAAGGGAACCCTCCTACACTGCTGGTGGGAATGTAAATTAGTTCAACCATTGTGAAAAGCAATATGGAGGTTCTTCAAAAAGTTCAAAATAGAAATACCATTTGAACCAGGAATTCCATTTCTAGGAATTTACCTAAGAATGCAGCAGCCCAGTTTGAAAAAGACAGATGCACCCCTATCTTTATCGCAGTACTATTAACAATAACTAAGAAATGGAAGCAACCTAAGTGTCCATCAGTAGAGGAATGGATAAAGAAGATGTGGTACATATACACAATGGAATATTATTCAGTCATAAGAAGAAAACAAATTCTACCATTTGCAACAACATGGATTGAGCTAGTGAAATAAGCCAGGCAGAGAAAGACAAGTACCAAATGATTTCACTCATATGTGGAGCATAAGAAGAAAGCAAAAACTGAAGGAACAAAACAGCAGCAGACTCACAGAACCCAAGAATGGACTAACAGTTACCACAGGGGAAAGGGACTGGGGAGGATGGGTGGG